GAATAGAATAGAATAGAATAGAATAGAATAGAATAGAATAGAATAGAATAGAATAGGTTTATTGGCCAAGTGTGATTAGACACACAAGGAATTTGTCTTTGGTACAAATGCTCTCATTGTACATAAAAGAAAAGATACATTTGTCAAGAGTCAAGAATCATCAGTTACAACACTTAATAATAGTCACAGTACAATAAGCAATCGAATCATACTAGGGAACAGTCAATAAAAATAGTTAGGATACAAGCAACAAGGTTACAGTCATACAATCACAAGTGGGAGGAGATGGGTGATAAGGAGTGATGAAAAGATTAACAGTAATAGTAGTGCAGACTTTGTAAATAGTTGGACAGTGTTGAGGAAATTATTTGTTTAGCAGAGTGATGGGGTTCAGGAAAAAACTCTTCTTGTGTCTAGTTGTTCTGGTGTGCAGTGCTCCATAGTGTCGTTTTGAGGTTAGAAATTGAAACAATCTATGTCCAGGATGTGAGGGGTCTGTAAATATTTTCACAGCCCTCTTTTTGACTCGTGCAGGATATACAGGTCCTCAATGGAAGGCAGGTTGGTAGCCATTGTTTTTTCTGCAGTCCTAACTATCCTCTGAAGTCTGTGTCTGTCTTTTGGGGTTGCAGAACTCAGTAATTCCTCTGTAGAACTGTTATCAGCAGCTCCTTGGGCAGTTTGAGCTTTCTGAATTGGTGCTGAAAGAACATTCTTAGAGAGCATTTCACTGAGACAGCCATAGTCGGCGCCATCTTGGATCCAGATTTCCATAATTCCCGGTCAAAGGTCCTTCTGACTAGAGATTAAGAATCCTGAAATCCAGACATACCTAGAGAATATTAGGTAGGGTAGGAATTGTTTTTCCCTTGGTCAAATTACCTTTCAATGCAGTGTGGTCCTAAAGGTGGAAATCAAAGACCAGGTCTTTCAACCAGGTGAGGTTGTCCATCTTTTGGGGGTCCTTGCTCTGGGATGCAAACAGGGCCATTTCATTTCCCTAGGTTGACACTTCTTCTCCAGGTCTTCTGCTAATCTCCTTCTTAGCTTTTGTATCTTGCCTGGGGTCCTGACTGGGCCTGCTTCCACGGTGGCTCAGGTCTCAATGCCACTTGTGAATTTCTCGTAGTGCATCAGGTGGCGGAACGCGTGGAGGCTTTGGGACCATTTGTGATGAAGACACGGAGGACCCTGAAAGGCCATGGCAACAAAGTCCTCTGTATGGACTGGTGCAAGGACAAAAGAAGAGCTGTCAGCTCTTCCCAGGTAACAGGAGTTTTTATTTGTTTATATTGTTTTTATCAGTTTCTTTCTAGACTGGTGCTTCTCAACTTTGACAGTGTGAAGATGGATGGAGTTCAACTCCCAGAGTTTACAAGAGAGGGAGAGGGGAAGGAAGGAAGAGAAAGAGAGGGAGAGAGGAAGGAAGGTGGAGAGAGGAAGGAAGGAAGGAAGGAAGGAAGGAAGGAAGGAAGGAAGGAAGGAAGGAAAAGAGGGAGGGGGGAAGGAAGGTGGAGAGAGAGAGGGGGGGAGGAGAAGGAAGAAAGGGAGAGAAAGGGATAGGGGAAGGAAGGAAGGTGGAGAGAGAAAGGGGAGGGGAAGGAAGGGAGAGGAAAAGGAAGGTGGAGAGAGAAAGAGGGAGAGGGGAAGGAAGGGAGAGAAAGGGATAGGGGAAGGAAGGAAGGTGGAGAGAGGAAGAGAGAGAGAGGAAGGAAGGGAGAGAAAGGCAGAGGGGAAGGAAGGAAGGGAGAGGGAGAGTGGAAGGAAGGAAAGTGGAGAGAGAGGCGGGGGAAGGAAGGAAGGACAGTGTCGAATATAAAAAGTGGACATTTCTTTTTATCTTGACAGAGGGGTTCTGGGAGTTAAAGTCCACCCATCCTCAAAACTTTCAAGGTTGAGAAGCACCTAGGGCAATACAGCTATTGTATCTTCTGCTCCATCCCATCCTCTCAGTCAAAGGATTATGGTTTCACCACAACAGAAACCAAGTGCACATTTTATTCCCTAAGAATGACAAGATATAGAATATGTTTAACCATGCTCTTCATGGTTGATGTTACAGAAAGACCCCTCGTCATAAGGGCAAAAGCCAAAACAAAGGAGAACCTGGAGGTCTTGATCTAAGCGTTGTCTGGGGCCAGCAACTCAACAAGGATTTTTTTTTTAGTGTCAAGTCATGAAGGAGGTGAAAGTTTTCCTGAGGTTCTCCTCTCGGGATGGAGGGATGCTTGGCCAGTGGAGAAGTCCATCTTCACAACTAGATCCTGATTTTGGCCTCATAGCTGAGTAGGAATAAAAAGGTTCATGGTGATTAAGAACACCATGGGAAGAACAAACTGAATATTACATGATATGGGAATTATTTTATCAATGGTTGGAAAAGAAAAATGGAAATTAGAAATGAAATATATGAACATACAAGATATAGATAGATAGATAGATAGATAGATAGATAGATAGATAGATAGATAGATCAATAGATACTGTAGATAGATAGATACTGTAGATAGATAGATACTGTAGATAGATAGATAGATAGATAGATAGATACTGTAGATAGATACTGTAGATAGATAAATAAATAGAACGAACATATATGAATATAGAGGGGAAGGAGTCAAGAAGGAGATGGTTACAATGATAAGATATGTATACTAGTTTAAACAAGAATGTAATGTAATTGTTGTAGGGAAATTGTATTAACCACAAATATGCAGAAGATACTTGTACCCAGACAACGCACTGTATAAAGAAAGGGTGGAATGTTTGTAAAATAAAATAAAAAGTTTATACAAAAAAAAGAACACCATGAGAAGCTCCAGGGAAAAACTATTGATGGTGGGCCACCAAAGTCCATCTGATGAACACCAGGGGTCACTCATGACTCATTGAGACCTCAATGGGATAAGAGTGCCACCTTCCCTGACTGCCACTAAGATCAGATTGATTAAGGCAGAATATCTGGGCTGACTTGATACCTCAAAAGGGTTTATTTTTGTTGATGTTATCTTTTGAAAGTTGACACACCATCGGTTTAATTAAGTCGGGTCTCCTCTGCCTCATAAATTCCTGTAATTCTAGGCAGGGGGTGTAAGCAGTGGACTCAACTGCCGTGTCACTTCCAAATAAAACACCCACATTCCAGAGAGTTTTGAATTCTTCCTTCTCTTCTTTAGGACGGGAAGGTGATCGTTTGGGATGCCTTTACCACCAATAAGGTGAGTTGCTCTAGAACATCTTTCCCCAACAAGATCGGGCACAGTCTGAAGGGTCTGTTGGATGTGGGGAGAAAATCCACCCTATTTTGTCTCTTTTTTTTTCTCCAAAAGTTTTATTAAGTAAAGTATTAAAAACATTGGATGTGGTGTGATCATCCTGAAAATCCTGTTTGTCATACATATTATAGCCTGGAATACATGTTTTATATACATTTATGCATCTATATATTTATTTTATACAATATTTTCTAGTTCTAATCAGCCGTTCTGCCAACCCTACTTTCTTTTGATTCTAGATCCTTCTTTTTTTCCCCACCATTGAAAGAATTTATCCCATACTTTATAGTATTCTGTCTCCTCTTTCATTTTGAAAGTTAATTTATCCATCTCAGTGCACGTCCATATCTTTTTTATTACTTCACTTTCATCAGGAATTTCTTTTATCTTTCCACTTTTGAGCAAAGGCTAAACTTGCTGCCATAATCACATGTATTATTAAGTACATCTCCTCTTTGTTGTATTTTTGGGTTTATATTCCACTTTATGCCCTACCATCTCCTTAAGCCACCTCTGAATTCTATTTTGTCTCACGTTGCATTGTTGCGTAAGGATGAAGACTCTCAAGTTCTGGTTGGCCTTGATGATATCCAACACCACATTTGCGGCTGGTGGTGTTGGGAATTGGCTACGTTTTGTCCCTGGGCCTTTTCTCTTAACATCTCAATGAGCTTCCCAGATTGTCCAGTAGCAAGGCTGGGTCAAGCGTTGGCTGGAGAGATGCAAGGAATGATTTGTATTTCAGGAGCATGCGGTGACGATGCCCTGCACATGGGTGATGGCATGCGCCTATGCTCCGTCTGGATGCGCCATTGCATGTGGGTAAGCAGAAGCCTCTTTAACGAAAGGTGTTTGAAAAAAATCTGTGTTTTGATCGTGACAAGCGGTGCTACTTTCTTCTCTTAAACCAATGGGTTTCCAAATGGAAATTTTTAAAAATATTGGCTGGATTTTAATATTGGCAGAAAGAGAAATGGTTTGGCTGCATGTATATTATAATGCATATTAATATTTTTATCTTGCCCCTATTGCCAGACTCTGGGCACTATCTGAAAACATCAAAATAATGTGTCTATATATACAGCAGAGGTCTCCAAACTTGGCAACTTTAAGACTTGTGGACTTCAACTTGGCCTATCTATGTTTGAGTTGAAGTCCACAAATCTTAAAGTTGCCAAGTTTGAAGACCCCTGATGTACAGTAATGGGATGGTGTAAAAAAACCTCCTCTAGTAAAATAACCTAGCCCAAATAGAAAACCTATAGAAGAATAAATAGGAGGAGACCCATCACCATTAAGTTTCAAAAGCCTGCCTGAATACGATCATATTCACAATTACGGGTACATTCAAGCAGATCTTGAAGGAGACCTTGGAAATGAATGGGCAGGAACCACCTCTGGAGATATGGCTACCAAGACTGAGAAGATCTTTTTTCCTTTATATTTAGTTACCGTCAGTGGTGGGATACCGGTTCTGTGGGCGTGGCTTGGTGGGCACGGCAGGGGAAGGTTACTGCAAAATCCCCATTCCCTTCCCACCCCCTAGCCTGCTTTACAGCTCCGTTCTCCTGCGCAGGGCCACCAAAGAAGACCCAGCCGATCAGCTGGGACTCAATGGGAGGCAGAGAATAGATGGGGGCGGGTCCAGTCAGAGGTGGGGGTTTTGCTGGTTCTCCAAACTACTCAAAATTTCCACTATCAATTCTCCAGAACTGGTCAGAACCTGCTGAACACCACCTCTGGTTACCGTGGTACCTCAGTACTCATTAATTGGTTCTGGGAGGCCTAAAAATGACGAATGCTTAATATGTGGCTCTTCATTTCGGCTAGAAAGGATAGCGAGTCACAAGACAGCCAACACCACTTCTAGCTTGCATGCTGAGTACCAAACAAACAATGAGTTCTGGGGCAAAATCTTCACATCAAAATGCGTCGAGTCCCAAATTTGATGACCTCCGGAGACGTCGAGTACCAGGGTAGCATTGTATTTATAGGTCACCTTTCCATCCACTGACCCTCAACAGAGCTTTCGGCCAATGTAATGCAATGATTACCAGTGAATTAAACAAAATTTACAAACAGAATAAGAAATAGGTCTCTAGAAGGACCTCCCACAATGCAGTTTCTGAAGGGGAAATGAGATAAGGAGAAGATGACTCTCCGTATATTACATCTCAGGTTGTTCAGGAATTCAGAGTTCCCATCTCAGATTTTCAATCTAGTCCAGAAATAAATTGATAATCCAGGAGCTTTGAGGGCTTCACGGTTGCAAGGCCCATACAACTAGCATAACTCAGATAACACCAGCAAGATTAAATAGGTCGGTTTTATTACCCAACCTGAATGTATGTATGTATGTATGTATGTATATATGTATGTATGTATTCAGCTTTGTTCGGGTATTTTCCCACGTCATTATAGTTGTGCTTTTAAAGTTGTAGCAACGTTTCGGCAGAATCTCATCTGCCATCCTTAGGCTTCTGTATTGTGTTCGTCTGGCAGATGAATGAACACAATACAGACGAACACAATATAGAAGCCTGATGATGGTAGATGAGATTCTGCCGAAACGTTGCTACAACTTTAAAAGCACAACTAAAATGATGTGGGAAAATACCCGAATAAAGCTGAATACCACACATGTAAGTACCCGCGAAAACTTAAGAAAACATATGTATGTTTGTATATCTATCTATCTATCTATCTATCTATCTATCTATCTATCTATCTATCTATCTATCTATCTATCTATCTATCTATGTATATATATTTCAAAAAGGACTTTCCTTCTCCCTTTTCCCCCTCCTGTTTTTAATCTAGTGGTCTGGATAACAAATGCTCAGTATACCCCCTGACCTTTGAAAAAAACGAGAACATGGCCGCTAAGAAGAAATCCGTCGCAATGCATACTAACTACTTGTCAGCTTGCAGCTTCACTAATTCTGATATGCAGGCAAGTGCATCCAACGTGCATCTTGTTGTTACTCTTTGCGTTGGAAAAGTTGTGTAGTGCAGAGTGGCTTTCACAATCCCTTCACAATCCCTTTAAAAACACTCATTTGTTTCTTTTGGGATAGGGATGGCTAAAATACTCTTTATGTTTCATAGGGGAAAATCAGAGTCACCCTTTTCTCGTCCCACAGAAGTCCACCTAATAAGGGCTCCTACCATCATATTTTAACGGCCCCATAATCCTTTTTGGTGTGTAGTCTGGGCAACTGAATGGAGCTAGCGTTTGTTTAATGGCCGGATGCCCTTCCTGTCACCAATGCAGAGTTATGTTCAGCCAATATATTCTCATTGTGCCCAGGGAGAGAAATATCTGCCTCTACCTAGAATCGAACTCACAGCCTCCTGATTTTGAGATGAGAGCTCCACCTCTAGGCCACCGCACCACTCCTAATAAGGGCTCCTATTCTCCCCCTAAAAAAATAATAAATACGGAAAAGCAAATTGCAAACTTTGAAAATCCTCCACTCAATTTGTGGATAGAAAAGTCGGCTTGATGGGTTTCTCCATAATTCTTCAGGAGGAGGAGAAGTTCTCCCACCCCCGATTTTTTTTTTTTCAAGAGGCAGCTGGACGTCCTTTGTTTTTCCTTGAAGATGTTTCGCTTCTCATCCAAGAAGCTTCTTCAGTTCTGCACTGAATCGTCTTCAAGGAAGACCAAAGGAAGTCCGGTTGCCCCCTTGGGACACTCCAGTGAGAAGAGTCCGATATTTGTCTTCTCTTGGAACTGACTGAAGCTGGGGAGGGTACAGACCAAGGAAGGAGGAAGGATTGCAAGGAGAAGCTCCCACGAGCCCCTTCTCCACCTTCCTGCTCAATTCAGGGACGCTCCACTTAAAGAGAACATTCGCTTAACCTTCTCTTTTTCTCTGAAAGAAATGCCCAAGGTGCTTTTGATGCAAAATCGAGCACGGCATTCGCTCTTTCTCAGTGTGCTAGCGTAATATCAGCTTGAGTGGAGTCTATTCTGGGATGTGAGAGGAAATTGCTATTTCCCACTCCGCTGTTTCCAGGAATAAGCCCAAGATGACGGTGCAAGTCTATTGCTATGGAAACCAGTGTCACCCATCTACCTGTGGGCTCTTAGCATATGAAACTCTAGCCTTGAGAGAGAGAGAGAGAGGAGGCTGGTGGAATAATTAAAGCCGATGCGATGCAGAGATGTTCTAGGAAATGGCCTGTGAGGAATGAGATACCACCAGCAAGAGAGTTCTACATGAAAAGACCTCCCATTTTTCTAGACGTAGACATTCTTTTCAGCAAAAAACCCGGCTTTTCTTTTAAAAAAAAATCTTTTCAGGGACAAATTCCAATATAAAGGATGGAACTTGCTCTGTTTTGCTGCACCCATTTCAAACAGGAATTGTATCGCGTGGCTTCTTCATCAATTATCAGCACTCAACCCTTTACCCCATTATGTCATCCGAAGCCAAGAAAATTAAGTTCTCGCTCTTACATATCTGTCTTTGATTTAATCACAGTGTTGATTGCACAAACAAAAGACCAAAAACACTCTTGTTTTTTTTGTACACCCTGATACATGTTGCTCTCCGGATCCATGGAGACTTAACCTTAAGTGGGTTTGCCCCTCAATGGGATTTTCCCATGTATTTTACTAGGAAGCTTAGGTAGGGCAGGTTCAAAAACATCATCACCCTCCTAAGCATATGGTGAGCTGGGAACAGGGGTGGTATGCCACCGGTTGGACCTGTTGGTGCAAACCAGATGTTAAAGTTACCGCTGGTTCGCCGAATCAGTATTTCAGCCGACCGGCTGGCTCACTCCTCTCCTCCCAGGAGCCTGCATATATTCCATTTTCAATGGAATATGTGCAGGGTCTGCGCGGAGGCTCTGGGAGGGGGAAAAACGGGCCTTCCAGAAGTCCGGAAATGGGCCTATTTCCGGCTTCCGGTGGGCCTCCAGAGCCCAGGAGGCCTCTGGACCCTTGGGAGGGTGAAAACAGCCTTCCCTGGGTTCTGGAGGCCCACCGGGAGCCGGAAACAGGAAGTTCCGGTAGGCCCTACCTTCCATGGCCTCGCCCGGGCAGCGAACCGGGATATTTGAATCCCACTCCGGGCTAGGAATCCATTGGCAAAGTCTATTTTGCTCTCCCTAGGTGGGTTTGCCCCCCCCCACAATGCAATTTTCCCATGTATTTTACCAGGAAGCGTATATAAGACGGGCTCACAAAGCCAGCACCCTCTTTAAGGATACTGATGCGCTACCAAGCCATTGGCCATGTCCATGTTGCTCTCTGAAGTTGTGATTTGATGCAAGTTTGAATGGCCTCTTTGGTTGTTTTTTTTCTCTCCCCCCCTCCCACAACCCTCCCCCCCCCCCCAAAGATCTTGACGGCAAGCGGTGATGGTACCTGTGCCCTCTGGGACGTTGAAAGCGGGCAGCTTCTACAGAGTTTCCACGGACACGGGGCGGATGTCTTGTGCCTGGACCTCGCTCCTTCAGAAACGGGGAACACGTTTGTATCGGGGGTAAATCGAGCTTACCTTTACGCAAGATGGGGATTAATGGCCCCTTCGCTTAATGGCCAGGTTCCCAATCCCAATTGTGGTTGGTTGGTAAACGAGGAATCTGATTACTGCTGCGGTTCAGGTTTGTGGACGGGGTGAGAGCACGGGGGAGATACTAACACTGTACAAAGATATTTCAAACAAACAGCATCCATTTTGTGATCTCATGATGTTGAGACTCTAGCAAGAGTGCAAAGAAGAACAACCTGAATTATTAGGGGACTAGAGGCTAAAACATATGGTGAACTGTTGCAGGAACTGGGCCTGGCTAGTCTAGGGAAGAGAAGGACCAGGGGAGACAGTAGAGCAGTCGTCCAATATTTGAGGGGCTGCCCCAGAGAGGAGGTTGGGATCAAGCTATTTTCCAAGGCACCTGAAGGCCAGACAAGAAATAATCGATGGAAACTGAACAAGCAGATATTCAACCTGGAGATAAGGAGTTTTCTGACAGTGAGAACAGTCAACACATGGAACAGCTTTGCCTTCAGAAATTGTGGGAGCTTCATCACTGGAGGCTCTCAAGAAGAGATTGGACTGCCATCTGTCAGAAATGGTGTAGGGTCTCCTTTTTGGGTGGTGGGCTGGACTAGATGATCTACAAGGTCCCTTCCAACTCTGGTTGTTCTATATTCAATGGAACAGCTTTGCCTTCAGAAGTTGTGGGAGCTTCATCACTGGAGGCTCTCAAGAAGAGATTGGACTACCATCTGTCAGAAATGGTGTAGGGTCTCCTGTTTGGGCGGTGGGCTGGACTAGATCAGGGGTCTCCAACCTTGGCAACTCTTAAGACTTGTGAACTTCAACTCCCAGAGTTCCTCAGCCAACTTTGCTGACTGAGGAATTCTGGGAGTTGAAGTTCACAAGTCTTAAAGTTGCCAAGGTTGGAGACCCCTGGACTAGATGACCTACCAATGTCCCTTCCAACTCTCTTAATCTAATCATTGTTTCCCTACATACATATATATATATTTGTACGTACATACATACATACATACATACATACATACATACATACATACATACGTTTTTGTAGATTTTCACGGGTGTAGGTATGCAGGTTTTGGCGTGTTCAGGTCTTTTCCTGTAAGATTGAGAGTATCTTGGCAACATTTTGACAAGGTCTCATTCACCATCTTCAGGCTGGTGCTTTTGGCTTCGTTCTTGTGTGAGCAAAGTGTTGATCGGAGCTGCCGTCTCTATAAATGGGACCTCGTTGAAACGTCACCAAGATACTCTCAATCTTACACCGGAAAAGACCCGAACATGCCAAAACCTGCATATATATGTGTGTGTACGTGTGTATCAATCACAATATATAATAATATGTATATTGTTGTCATTTATTTAGGGGTGTGATAAAAAGGCAATGATCTGGGACATGCGAACCGGACAATGCATTCAGTCCTTTGAAACCCACGAGTCGGATATTAATGGTGTCAGGTGAGAATCCTATTTTTAAATGGTGCATTGGTGCACATGTTGACAAAAATAGCTTTGTGAGTGTAGGGCAGAAGAAAGAGAAGCTGAAGGATGGGCCTCTTAGGTCATCTCTCATCCAGTCTGCCATCCTCTGGACCCAACATGAAACTGAAGAACTGTTGGGAAACACCCTGCCAGGCAAGGAGTGTAGGAGTCAAGCAGGGAAGTAGCCTCGAGTCATTGCACAGCTGCAAGAGGCAGAGGGCTGACCTCCTTTAAGCTCCATGGGACCATAACTGTTGGTCCCATGGAGCTTAAAGGAAGAGAAGGCAAGCAGCCTGAGGAAAAATTCCTGTACTATAAGTGAAACACAATAAAGTAGGTGAACTTGAACTTTTCACCCAGGGAATCTGGTTGCTAACTCCTGACAAGGACTGATCCACATGATCTTGGCTTGTCCAGTGTCAGTGAAAATCTGTGTGTGAGTCAATACAAGAATCTCCCTTACTCATGCTATTGTGGGTCAGGGCCATCGCCTGGTAAAATCTTGGCATGATCAAGGGAAACTCCAAGGGCTCAGCTGTGTTTTGCAAAGATTGCCAAATATTGCTTCAAAAGTGCGCTGACGTCTTTTTCTTCCTCTTTGTGAAGGTACTACCCAAGCGGAGACGCCTTTGCCTCTGGATCAGATGATGCCACAGTACGTTGCATTATTTAATTTTGAAAGAGACACATTCCTTCCCCACAAAGGAAGGCTGAACCAACCAAGTGAGCCAGTGGCTGGGAATAATAAAAGTGCAAATTCCAGATCTTTTGTAGGACTCTGCCTGACATCAAGTTCCTAGGTCAATGAATGTTCTTCTAAAATTTTCCCATTGCCACCTGGTGGATGAATAAGACCTAGACCTAAGGATTGACAGTTTTTGACTTCCAGATGTTGCTCTTACAACTTCCAGCATCCCCTACTTACATTGGCTAAGACTTCTGGGAATGTAGTTCAAGATATGCACGTGGTTATTTTCTTGGCCAGCTTACCTAGAGGGGCTCTGAATTCTTTTATCTCTCTGTCCTTATAGAATCTGAACCAGGACTTTAAGATTCCTCCTTAGCCTTGGAATTTCTCCAGGGATTTTAGCTCGGATCTTTTCATCCTCTCTGCTCTTGCAGGGTTAACATGGAATAATCCACACATGTTTTGCTCTGGACTCCTGGAGGAAGGGGGGCAAATCAATAAACCAAAGAATTATCCTGAACAAATGGGTTGAATGTAATATCTACGAGCCAAACCACAGCTCTGGAATTTATGTGGGAGGAAAAAAGTTACAACGACAAATGAGGTAGAAGAAGGATGGAATGTTATTGAAAGCTAATTTTAAATGTTATTTATTAGCTTGTTTTGGACATCCTGTCCCCGTCTTTCCATGCCAAAAGATTATTCCAAGGTGGTGTAAAAAATGCTATCGCAACAAAAATAAGCTAAAATAATAATCTCCCAAGGCGACTGAGGGACTTGAACAGGGAAAAAGGATGGCTGAAATTAAAGCATACTTGTACTTTCTTAAAAAGGAGATGTGTCCTCTTGGGAAACCACTTCATAATTTACCTGGTCAACCAAAAAAGGTCAAGGTGGGCTTCTTTGGTAAGGCAATGCATTAGTTGAGGTACCAAATGCTCACAGTCAAGAATGTGCTTCCAACGTCAGTTTCTTAGGGCAGCCTCTTTCCATTTCAATTTATCTTAGGCATCTTCCAGATGTATGGCCTTCTGTTTCCAGAATTCCTTGGGCAGAACCTCCATACATGAGAATTCTGGAGATTGAGATCCAAACAGCTTCCAGAGAGACAGCTTAGGGGATGATGACTCTAGAATGATCAAAGAAACTCAAGGAATCCACGGGAGTTGAAGCCCAACAAACGTTAACGTAACTTATCAGGGTGTAGGCCACAGTATTCAGGTTTATGTAGGTTTGTTGGCGTAGCTTAGATGAGAGGCGTGGTGCCCTAGTGGTGAAGTCACTGCTTCACACTCAGGAGAGTTCAATCCCAGGTAAAGTGGCAGATATTTCTCTCCTAGGGCGCGAAGAAAAAAATATCTGTTGCTGTGAACTCCACGTGCTGTCAGGAAGGGCATCCGGCCAGTAAATGCTCAGCTCCATCCAGTCCGTCCCAACTCGACCCTTAATTAAGGGATTACAGAGTTGTAAGGGAGTTTTACTGGTAGGGCTAAAAACTTGTGTACGGTCATAGCATTTAAAAATGATCTAGATAATGAATTTTCCTTTTTTTCCCCTCCTTCCCTTCTTCTTGAGTGCCGTTTATATGACCTCCGAGCAGACAGAGAGGTGGCCATCTATTCCAAAGAAAGCATCATCTTCGGAGCGTCCAGCGTGGATTTTTCTCTTAGTGGTGAGATGTGAATCCTGATGTATTTTCTTTTCTCATGCAAACTAACAAGGAGGAGAACGAAGCGTGGTCTCCTTCCAGTTTAGCTTGGCTGGCGATAGCAAAGCGATTCCATCAGTGAAGTTAAACTCTTCCAGATCTTGAGACTTAAAACTGTTGCTCAATGAGTTGGTCCTTCAACTCTAGGTGTGTTTCAGTTCTCTCGCTTAGAAAAAAAAAATTATATGAAGTTAACTAGCGAAAGGTGTAGCATTTTCTTGATTTGAGTTTAATTGCTCAAGGTGGAGGTTGCACAAACTTTTTCTTTAGCCCAGTGAACTCACTCAGGTAGGTGAGTAGGGTGAGGTTTATTACACGGAAGTAAAACTACCAGGTCATAAGATTGGAACAGTTGAGCTGAGAATTACAGCTTTGTTGTGCCTAATGGTTGCTGGCTGAAGATCAATTTTTCATTTAGAATGTCAAGTGGTTTTCTTCTACTTGTGAATCTGTTTGGGAACTTTGATTGATTGATTGCTGACAGCATAATTGATTGATTGTGTCATCAGCATAATGCTGTGATTCAGAATAATAGCATTGGAAGGGACCTGAGAGGTCTTCTAGTCCGGGGTCTCCAACCTTTTGGACCTCAGGGACCACCAAACTCATCATTTTAAATCCCGCGGACCAGAGACCCTGGGAAAATCCCCCAAAAAGTCTGCAGGAAAATTCCCCAACCCGTTTTCCTGCCGATCGATCATTCTTTATTTGGGATCGCAGGATACCGTCTCCAGCTCCGTTCTCGGGGGAAGAGAGGGAGAGAGAGAGAGAGACTTTTGGCTTCATGCAAGGAAAGCAGCAGAAATCTTCCTCTCCTCCAAACTCCGCCAGAAATGAGTCTTTGTGATACTTGTCATGCCACAACAGCCTCTTGGAGCAGGAAGACTTGCAGGGTCCCAAGGACTTATTTCTGGCAGAGTTTGGGGGAGAGAAAGAAAGACTTTTGATGCTTTCCTTGCGTACAGCCAAAAGCAGAAGAAGAAAGAAGCGGAAAGAAGCAGCCCAGTGGCCAGGCAAGGCCCATGGGGCGAGCGGGGCAAGTCCCCCCCCGCCCTTTCCCCCCTCCCCTCACTACCTCGTGTTGTTCACATTGCAAGCGACGGAAGCCTTGTGTTCCCGCGGGCCATGTGGGCGGTGCAGTCTTGTGTTCCCACACAGCCTGGATTAATTGCTTTTGGGGGTGACATTTCTTTGCAGACCATCCAAATTTTTTCACGGACCACCAGTGGTCCCCGGCCCACCAGTTGGCGATTACTGTTCTAATCCAACCTGCTCAAGCAGGAAGCCTACACGATTTCAAGCAAATAGTTGTCCAATCTCTTCTTAAAATCCTCCAATGTTGGAGCATTTCACAACTTCTGCAGACAACTCGTTCCACTGATTAATTATTTTCACTGTCAGGAAATTTCTCCTTAGTTCTAGGTTGCTTCTTTCATTGATCAAATTTCCATCCGTTGCTTCTTGTCCTGCCTTCAGGTGCTCTGGAGAATAAGTTGACCCTCCCTCAACCCCCTTAGATATTGGAACATTGCATATTGGGACCTGTTCTGACCAGCGTTTTGTCCACAGGACGTTTATTATTTGCGGGCTACAATGACTACACCATCAACGTTTGGGATGTCCTGAAAGGCTCTCGCGTCGCCATTTTGTTCGGCCACGAGAACCGCGTTAGCACGTTGAGAGTTTCGCCCGACGGGACTGCGTTTTGTTCTGGATCGTGGGATCACACTCTACGGGTAAGGATGCAGTCTCCCAATTCTTTCTTTCTTTTTTCTTTCTTTAAGTTCAAAGGAGAATCCCTGTCCTGAAGCTAACCATTGTTTGATGTTTTTCTCCACAGGTCTGGGCTTAAGTAGCAGGGCAGTTTCCCAACATGTATTCGCCTAGGGAATCATAGGATCACACACCCCACGGAACATCCGTTTAATGGGGGGGGAGGAAATCTATCACAAAGACTCTGTCACAACCTTAATTGGATGGTGAAAAGATGGAAAGAGACATACCTTGTTAGTATTTATTCCGTAGCTGCCCAATTCAAATATATATATATATATTCTTAAGTTTTCGCGGGTACTTACATGTATGGTATTCAGCTTTGTTCGGGTATTTATAATGACGTGGGAAAATACCCGAACAAAGCTGAATACCATATATATATAAAATCTTTTTCATATGCGGGGCGGTGGGCGGAAGAGTTTATGTGTTGCTATAGTCAGAACATGTTTTTAATTCTGTTTTTGAAACTACCTTTCCTTAGTTAGAGGATAATCATTCTTAAAGCCAGACTTTTGGGGAAATCATAACTGGTTAAGAGGACTTTAGCATTTTAAACCACGCTGTACATGTCGTGTTTGCATGAAATGACGTTCCTTTCTAAAGTCGACTTGGAATTAAAATAGAAACCAGTGTAAGGGGTTGGTGGTTGCTTTCTTTTGTTTTTGTTTTTGGCTTTGGATTTTTTTGTGTTTTATTAATCAGGGTATCTGAGGGTTTGTTTGCACATTCCATTACCGAAGTAGGAAGGGGTGAAGCAATTCTCTTTCCTTGCTCTTCAGGGTCTCAGGTGACAGAGAGAGAGAGAGAGAGAGAGAGAGTGCTGTGCAATGGGTAGGCTGGATTCGAAGTCCCCACACAGCCGTTGTAGCACACTGGATGCCCGTGGGCCTCAGGCACTATCTCTCAGCCTAGCCTACCTCATAAAATCGTTGTGTGGGGGGCAGTGGTGGGATTCAAAAACTTTTTACCACCAGTTCTGTGAGCATGGCTTGGAGGGCGTGGCAGGTGAAGGATACTGCAAAATCCCCATTCCCTCCCCACCCCACTAACCTGCTTTCCAGCTCCGTTCTCCTGGGCAGGGCAACGAAAGAAGACCCAGCTATTCAGCTGGGACTCAATGGGAGGCGGAGAATAGATGGGGGCGGGGCCAGTCAGAGGTGGGATTTGCCGGTTCTCCAAACTACTCAAAATTTCTGCTTCGGGTTCTCCAGAACTGGTCAGAACCTGCTGAAGACCACTCTGCTCCCCTCTCCCGGGGATCCTGCAAAATCTCCATTCCCTCCCCACCCCACTAACCTGCTTTCCAGCTCCGTTCTCCAGTGCAGGGCGACTAAAGAAGACCCAGCCAATCAGGTGGGACTCGGGAGGAGGAGAATAGATGGGGCGGGGCCAGAGGTGGTATTACCGGTTCTCTGAACTACTCACAATTTCCACTACCGGTTCTCCAGAATTGGCCAGAACCTGCTGAGTACCACCTCTGGTGTGTGTGTTAGGTGTGTTTGTGGAACAGAAAGTGGTACAGAAAATGAATTGCACTGCCTTGGTCATCTTGGGAGTAAATTCGGGATAGAAACAGAGGCCGTATAAAATGAAAGTGTTGTACGAGGAGTGAGTGCAAAGCTCTTTGGGTGGGATCTGGTTTGATGACAAGATCATCGTCCGGTTACTTCAGACCCCCGTCCAAAAGACTGTGGGGAACGAGAAAAGCTGGTGATTGGCCCTTTTTTCCACCTTTCTTTTGGCTGCATGCATCGAGCCCCGATTGGAAACCCTCCATTTTCCCAACGCTGAATGAAACCTAACCGAAAAGAAACAAGTAATTCACATTAAAATCGGCGGGCTGTATATTTGCTGTTTCTGTGAGCTGGATCCAAGGGGTACCAAATAGAGGCAGTCCTCAACTTACAACAGTTCATTTAGTGACCAAAGTTGCGATGACACCAAAATAAGTGGCTTACGGCCATTTTTCCCAGGCTTATGGCCGCCGCAGCTTTCCCGCATGTGATCACGTGATTTGCCTTCGGATGCTTGACAACAAGGGAGGGAGGATGGAAAGAAGGAAGGAAGGAAGGAGGAAGGAAGGCGCATGGTGGCGTAGTGCTTAGAATGCCATATTACAGGCAAACTCAGCCCACAACCAGCAGTTCGAGTCTTACCAGGCTCGATTCAGCCTTCTATATGTCCGAGGTGGGTAAAATGAGGACCCAGATTGTTGGGGGCAAGAGGCTGACTCTGCAAGCTTTGCTGAAAACTGGTGTTTACTTCCCTCTCTCTCTCTCTCCCTCCCCTTCCCCTCTCTCCCTCTCTTTTTCTTTTGGGTTTTCTCCAAAAATACTCCTTTCCCCAAGAAAAGATTTTTTTTTTTAACGGAATGGGCTGTTTTTAGAGTTTGCGACCTTTGGCTAGTGAATGGAGATTGGAAAAGCTTTTGAAGGCAGCGTACAGAAGTTCTTATTATTATTTAGAAAGGCAGATTCTAGAAGGTGGCTCCACGGGACTTCTCTGAATCCATGTACACAGGCCTAGGAAGAGGTGTAAATATTTCTTAAGTGATTCCACGTTTCTAGGTTATTGACACTTCTGCCATTCCTGGAAAAAACAGTTTGACAAATCACTCCCCTGAACTTTCCACTTGGACAACAGCTCTGTGTGCTTTTTATGATGTGGGCCACCAGTTTTGCCTATTCTCCGAGGGCGCGCCCTGTAGAAATTACCACTGTTAGCTTGTGATGCAATGACGATCTAACACTTCGATGCAGTATTTATTGGTGAGACGTTTTTGAGTTTTGATTGGAATATGTGGTGTTGATTAACTTATGCACTATAATAAATTGTATTTTACATACCGAGGATTGTTGGCTCTGGATTGTCTCTCTGGATTTCGAACAAGAACCATGCTTGCATCATTAGGTCACGTGTACCTAGCCTAAAGACTGCTTTGGGTCTTATGAAGGACAATCCAGTGTATTGTACGTCTGTTTGGAAATGAAGGCCAGGTGGCTAGCTATACTTGGAAATGCTATCTCCAGTGAATTGGAGACTGACTCCTTTACTAAAATGCCATGCAGTGTTTCATCCCTTGATTGAGTTAATAGATCTGAAATATTTGTTGAGTAGAGTAGAGTAGAGTAGAGTAGAGTAGAGTAGAGTAGAGTAGAGTATGGAATAGGAACGGAACAGAACAAGAAATAGAGTATAGAATAGGAATAGAACAGAATAAGAAATAGAGTATAGAATAGGAATAGAACAGAAGAGAACAGAACAGAATAGAATAGAATAAGAAATAGAGTAGAGTATAGAATAGGAATAGAATAGAATAGAACAGAAGAGAACAGAATAAGAAGTAGAGTAGGAATAGGAATAGGAATAGAATAGAATAGAATAGAATAGAATAGAATAGAATAAGAAATATAGTAGACTAGGAATAGGAATGGAATAGGAATAATAGGAAATAATAGAAATAGATCTGAAATATTTGTAGAGTAGAGTAGAATAGGAAATAATGGAAATAGAATGTACTCTCTTTGGCCAAGTGTGATTAGACACACAGGGAGTTTGTCTCCAGTGCAGAAGCTGTCAGTGTACATGCAAAGCAACACACTAATAACAATATCATAATAACGAAGCCGGTAAGACTTAAGACCAAAGCATCTTGCAGTGGAACAAAGTAGCTATCATTTCGTCCATGTGAACACGACCACCACACTGCCCGAACAAAAGGGAGGGCTTTGTGTTGGGAAGATGCTTCCACTTGCCTTGACTATGGATTATTTATTGCCGTGCAGGTCCCTTGGAGGTGGCTTGCAGATGTTTGCTGCATGGTGGATCTTGATATTGTCTACCTTAAGATGATTAAGGACCTGGTGTCAAAAACATGTGAAGAATGGTTGCAGTATTTAGGTATGGCTGGTCTAGAGAAAAGAAGGACGAGGGATGACATGACGGCAGTATTCCAGTATTTGAGGGGCTACCCCAAAGAGGGTGGGGGGCGTCAACTCATTTTCCAAAGCACCAGAAAGCGAGAAGCAATGAATGGAAACTAATCAAGGAGAGAAGCAACTTGGAATTAAGGAGAAACTTCCCAGCAGTAAGAACAATTAACCAGTGGAAGAGCTTGCCTCCAGAAGTTGTGCGTGCTCTATCACTGGAGGTTTTTAAGAAGAGACTGAACAGCCCACCTACCTGAAATGGTGTAGGCCAGAGTCGTCTCCTTGAGGGGTTGGACTAGAAGATCTCCAGGGTCCCTTCCAGCTCTATTCTGATTGTACTATCGATTGTACCATTTGGAGACTAAACTCTCCATATTGAGATCCTTTGGAAGGAAAGCAAGATGTCAAGGAGATAGATGGTCTCTCTCTCCTCTCTCTCCTCTCTCTCGCTCTTCTCTCTCTCTCTCTTTAAAAAAAAGGATTCTTAAGTTATTCCCCTGTGGGTGACTTACAACATCTTTGAGATTCACCCAAGGACCGCTATGCCAGCTTAACTGTAACGAGGAGAGGTTTTATCACTCCAGCAACGGCTGGGAGATGTTAGGAAGGTGCTATAAATCACCCATGGAGAACTGGCCTTCTTCAGACCAAGAAATACTGGAGGATCAATATAGGAGCAGATGGTGTCTCAGCAGAAAATTTTCTCTGGGCTTAAGAAGGAAATACACTGTGCCCAATGCAGGTATCTTCCTAAGGCACCGCAAACTTGACAAAGGCTATATGGAATAAACATTAGATGATGAAGGTATAAAATTTCAGGAGGCCTTTTTTTTAAAAAACAAAACAACTTGGTTTTTTGGGAAGTCTGGGGGCTGCTTCCGTGCAAAACAGATCTCTTCAATGGCTTCAGTTTTGCACTTTTGATTACATATTGTCCCTTGTGCAGCTGAAATGTGAATTTAGGAGAACTCACAGCCAGGTTATGGATCGGCTAGTCCAAATTTCATCACTCCAGCCTCACATCCCAGGACAGAAAGATTGGATGCAAAAAAACCAAAAAACCAAACCCAAACCTCTCCCAAGGGTATGAATAATTGAAAAACAAAAGAGAAAACTGAGCAATTTTTCACATCTTTACATCCCAACATCTGGCGCCCTTCAAGCGAGATGAAAGTAAAGCTGTTTTATTATAAATCATCATTTATTGTAAATGATAAATGGGCGTTTGAAACCAGCTTTTCCAATTCTCTCCCCTCTCCCGTCCCTTTTCTCCAAACCAGCAATTTATTTCAATAATACTGAAATGCAAGAAACAGCTTCGGCTTTTATTAAAGATGTTGACA